TTCTTATCTGCTGCCAATTTCTTTTCTTCAGCAAAAAACTAGCTATCTTTGCGATAAATTGCAACCCTGAAAATTGTGATTTTCTTTCGATTGCAATTACTTGCCTACCTCTACCACTTATCTACCATAAACCTTTGATCATGCATGTTATGAAAGCAGTCATTTAAGAAAAAAAAAAAAAAAAACCAATAGAAAATGTTCTTGAACCTGGCGTTTGCGATAACAAGTGACCACAAGTGACTGGAGGAGGGGCCCCTGCTCACACAGAAGGACCTTGGGGACCGTGTCAACGTTTTCTGTGCCGACGCGCGCACAAACATTGGGCAAACATTGGGAAAGTCTGGCAGCAGCCTTTGAGATAGTGGGCCGTTGATCTAAGACTGAGAAGCTAAAGTCCACTATCTGCTGTGTGTGTGTGTGCCTATACCCCAGCCAAGGTCCTGCTGACACAAAGCAAACATGGATACCTGAAGACAATGACCTTAGAACCCTGTGAGAGTAAAAACAGGAAGTGGTGAAAGTGACTTCCTCCCCGCGGGCCAGGAATGATTCAGGTGGAATAATTGTACGTACATTACACGGGTCGATGTAGACAGAAACACTGGCACATGGGGAGCGCAGATGTGGGCTGAGCTGCAGAAAGAGAGAGTGAGTCTTCAGATGTAGCGACAGATGGTATTTGATTACAGAGCAGACGGTCGGTGTTGTACAAAGATGCTGCCTCAGCCCAACCTAAGGAGCTGTAGCCTCCGGTGAAGGCGAGAGGAGAGCGGAGAGAGGAGAGGAGAGGAAGGGGGGCTGCCGAGGGGAAAGCAACACGGGACCAAAAAGAATAAAAGCAAAGCATGCAAGAAGCAAGAACACAAAAGGAGCAACTCCAAAAAAAAAAAAACAAGAGCATCAAAGTAAAACGGGAGATTGAAAAGCGAGTGAGGCAGGATGAACAAAAGCAGCCTGAGCGACGGGCCGGCCTGGTGGAAAGTACAACAGAGGTCATGATAAGAAACGCTGAGATGACGCACACAACACAGGAGGCCCTTTTCAAACACTGCCTTCTTCTTTAAAGACTCACAAACTCTCCAACAAAACGGAATGATACCGTATGTCAGGACGCACCGGGAATACGGGGAACACTTCTAACATTGATTTTGTTCAGCAGTTTTTGACTTCACAAGTTGTGCCTGCGTGTTTTAAAATCCTTGCCCTAAAGTCATTGCAACAGCATTAACATGTAGTTTGTAGTGAAAGATGTTTTTTATCTTTAATACCCTACGATTGTATGCCGATCCACTCCTAAGTACGTGTCTGGAGGAGCTGTTGTTTACCGTTAGCCAACTCTAAATGTTATGAGCATTACATTACATTACTCTGAACCATGTGACTTTTATCACAACAAACCATTACAGAATATTGTATGTGTGTCTCTTTAGTATGATTCATTTTAGCGTAGAGAATACTGCTGCTCACAGAGGGTGTCAGTACTTGTTGAATTGTTCATGTATATGTATTTATTTAATTCGGTTTATTCTTCCTCCTATTTATTGAATTGAATTCAAAATTGTCAGTATTTATTTATAAAAAAACGCAAACAACCAAAATAAAATGAAAGAAAAGTGAAACGGTGAAACCAGCTTAAACTGCAGTCTCTTTCTGGTTTGCTCTTGCTCTGGAAAGCATCTTTTTGACGGGTATTTATGTTTTGATATAGAAATTATATCACATTACTAAATACATATTATTCCATTATGTTTAAAAATAACTATGATAAATATACTTTCATTTGCTTGACAACCTGAAAGTTTAAGTTTGATACTGTATGTCTGTAATGCATTAGAAGATTGGATCAAACAGCACATTCTTTTGAGAACAGAGATGATAGGAGGCACACATAAATGGCATTGCTTAATGATAATGATTTACACGTCGGGTGGATCTCCCATGGGTGGGGGAGGGGCCACAGTGTTGAGAATTGTGTCACTCACTGGTTCACAGGTTCTCATAATCGGCCTTTTCACACACAACATGTACACAAGCACACACAATGAATTTCAGCGGCCCACTGCTGCGCTGCTATAAAAGAGCACATTTATAATGCCTCTGCACATTTCTTTAACGTTCTATTTGAATAGTTTGATATCTGCCGTCTGCTCTGTGATTATGATTACTGTAGTGTCATCAAATGGTCCAGACATGTAGGATCAGGGGGAGCACATACTTTTGCTTCTTCCCACTACTTTTTTAGCCAAACCCTTCTTTTAAAATAATAATGTATGTTTTACAGATCCTCCTTGCACCTTTTTTGTTTTGTTTTGTTCTCCGTTCTCTTGTTGCCCATCTGTGTGGCTACAGTATGGCGCAGAGTGTTATAATTATCTGGCTCAAAAAAAAGTATTCAAATCAGATCAAATCAAATAGATACAACAGACATGCACTGAAATCTGGTTTGCTTAAATGGTTTTGTTTTGTTTGCAAATTGTATACAGCAGACGACACATAACTCATAAGTCATATTGTCTTCAAGATGTTAAAAAAATAATTTAAAGATAGTCTCATCCCAAACTGTTGAGCATTCCTGACAGAAGAGACCACACCAGTAGATCATTGATCATTGACCTTCAATTAATTATAATATTCTATAACTTCAAATATGTAAAATCAAGAAGACACAACAGACATTTAGACCTGGCTCCTCATCATTTTTAGCCAAATGTAGATTTAAAACATGCTTTTATTTTCAGACCAATGAATCAAGACTCTTATGTGATAGAAAAGGTCACTGCTCATCTGCAATAATTATTATCAAAGACTGCAGGGATCTAAACATTTTACACCAATTTATTTTGCAAACTATATTTCTTCAAAGTGCTTTTATCCATACACAAAATATAATCTGCTGCTTCCTTTAAGTGTGGGGTGTGGATGGCGGAAGAGGAGCCTGTTTGAGAGGGGGATAGGTGGGGCGATAATCACCTTGTACATCAGATAAAACGTCTCCTGTTCTTTCTTTCTCTCTTTGTCACTTTAATAGAAGCGATTGCGAGGCCCAGGCCAAAGCTTCAGTGAGAAAGAAATGCTGCAGGCTCTCTCAGGACTGGCGATCTTAAGAAGAGAGAACTCGTCCCATAATGAAGGGAGGATCTCTCATCCTTCTTTTGTCGCGCGGCTTTGTCTGTCGCCGTAAGTCAGCAGGTTAAGCAACTCTCTCCCTCTTTGATCCTTTTGTAACGGACGCCGCCGCACTGTTGAAGTCGCCCAAGACTGGATCGTCTTTTCAGAAATGTACCTCATCAAAGCACACGTTTGGAGAGAGCAAACTTAAAAGTCGTGATTGTGAGCGGGCTGTAGCTTTTGTTGCAGGTGCATGTGTTTCTTTGTAGTCTCCAAAGCGTCTTGCCTCAGGCCTAGTGCTCACCTTCGACCTGCTCGGGGTCAGAGCATTCTGAACAGGGGGACACAAGCGGCAAAGAAGGGCCTACAAGTGTGAAATTCACTCCTTCACTCCTTAATAACGCTGCTTTAACACATGAGAAGTTCATTTGCAAAAACAGAAATCTTCGTCAAACTGGTAGCATTCCTCTCACCACAATCTTTAACATGTTTTGTCATTGTGAAGGGGTGAAACTTTATGTGTATAGCACAAAAACATATCAGGCTTTTCAAAAAACTACATTGTCAAGTTTCAAATTTTAAGCCTTTCAATGATTCTCTCTCATGGAACGTATATGATTTTTGCAAATTAACATTTACTCCAAGTTGCCTCTTTAAATTATCATCTGTTTAATGATTCATCATCTGGGACTGCAGTAAAAGATTCATGTGTACATATCACTTAGACGACTTTAATGTATAATATTCATTGCAACATACTATTTAACATTATTCAAAGTTTTTATTGTATAATCTGTATTGTAATGTATAATTAGACATTTAATCCAGCTATAGTTTGGAGATTGGAATATTCCCTGAAGAGTAAAAAGGTTCTGTGTAGTGTCCCCCGTAGCTTCTACACTCATGTCCTGATAGTGTATAAAGCAAAAAATAAATCCTAAAAATCCTACCTGTGTTCTTTAGGGCCGCTACTATAATTGTGATAAAAATATAATGTTATCTAATTACTTTGACAATAAACTTTAACAATACACAATTGCCATATCGGAATTGAAGTAAAAGACGTGCTCTTTTGGCCCGCCTTTCAGTGAAGTTTTCCAGTAAAAATTATTACAATAGTTGTGACCTGTAACCTCTGTTTATATAATACACATATAAAGTAAAAAACAGTTGTTATTATTACAAAACATACCCAAAACAGGTAGGATAATAATAATAGTAATAATTTATTTTGTTTCTGCAGTGGCAATAAGGGACAAACAAATTCTCCAAGTGCCAATCCTCAGCAAGCAGTGTTGACAAATAATCATAAACAACAACATTGTAACAATAATAATAGTCAAAATATTGTACACCCCTTAAACACAGTGCCTAGAGTTGCACACTTCAAAACATGGTCAAGTTCAGCAATCAAAATCTCACAGACCAGTGCAGACCACACGTCCAGTCAAAGACCTCAAAAGTCCAGTGTACGTGGCTTCAAAACCAGTTAGTTTCGGTAAAATCTATGTTTTTTAACAGTGTATGAGGGCCCCATTCACACATTCACACTAAAGTTAGTTTTCATACAACAAGCCAAACAGATGAGGAATCACACAGTCCATAAAAGAAAAAAAAAAACACCCAATAAGTAACATTAGAGTCTCTTCATTTCAGTAGAATCATAAAAAATAAAGAAATAATAATAATAGTAATAATTATATAAGAACAACAACACAATATCTAGGTTCATTCAGGAATCGCCGCAGTGGCCTTCAAATCGGGAATGCTACTTCATAACTTCCTTACATTCAAAAATAAACAAAATCAAAAGAAATATTGGAAATCTTCAAAAAATCAGATAAATAATAATCAGGATGTTGAGAAGTAGAAAGAGGAGCGGGAATGAACGTTTACTCATGTAGAAGCTCTTGGAGGCAGTTGGGGGATTTGAAAATCTCAGGAACCTCGCTGTCCAGTTTGCAGATGACTTTGTAGATGGCCTTCTTCCAGGACGGGTCCACGTCTTTGCCGGCCACGATGGCGTTAAAAAACTCTCTGAGCGTAACCTCCGCTACCTCAATGAAACGTTCTGGCACCTGAGAACAGAAAACAGAGAGAGCTCACGTTAACATTTGAATGAAGTTGTCTTAAGACGACTTTTATAAACAATTAGAACACAGGAAATGCAAGAATTAAACATAGAAGCCATTGGTGCATGAGGTAGTGTGATGACCAACGTCTGTTAATCTTCATGAATGTCCATTATTATGAATTAGGTACAACAAAAATCTTACAAAAATCAACCTCATTTCTCCCACAGAAGAGAAATGAATGTGTACAAATATTGATAGAATGAGCCTTGAGATTCACTGATATAAGTTATCCATGATTTGTATTTTTCTGAGTAGGTTTTTTAACCCATTTAATTCATTCATGGTTTATTCCAGACATTAGTGAAAAATGTTGTTTGGAAAATGTTGTTTTTAGCCTAAATTAGTTGATACATTTTTGTGTCTTAAAGCAAACGCTAAATAGGCAAACAAACAAACCCCGCTTAAACTTTTATTAAACTTTTATTCACAATTTATTAAAAATGCATCGCTCTGGCAGAGATAGATACTGTATGGTTTTCACTCTACAAAATAATTACCGGTGAACACATTATATTATAAAATATAAGCTAGTGATTACGTTATTATTATAAATGTATTGTCTCATAGGCAACAACTTCCTTAAAACCTTATCAAGGCGGTGGCCACTTCTTGTTAAATTCTCTGCTTTTCTCACACATCGCTCACACTTGTCCCACTTCCCCTGTGCCACTCTGAGGTGTGTGTGACAGCTTTATGGTCGCACTGTAAATCTGGAAGTACAGTGTGGTGAGGAGCAGTGAAGGAGCGGGGCTGGCTAAAGAGGAAGTACTAAACGTTTTGGGAGTACAGAGACACGCCACCTCTTTAGTGCGCCTGACAGCAGCGTTCACTAACACTATGGACATGATTAGTCTGGCAAAGATCTGTGACACCTTCCCCGGAGCCAGCTCTCTGTCACACATGCTACACACACAGACACACACACAAACACACACACGCACACACCAAGAGCCAGGAGATGACACTGTGAGAGCAATATACAACAGCGCACATGCAGCCGGCCGAGTGGGTTTGGCCCCGTCTCCCAGCCTTCAGGGGTCACCTGCCTGGATAGTGCTGACTCCCCCGCCCACCCCCCCATTCTCTCTCTCCTGGTGCCCAAACGCCTGACAGTGCTCCTCCAGCGTCCTGCGGATACTCATCAGGAGTGTCAGGACGCACCAAGGTTAGTGGCCACGGCAACGCGCCCACAGACTGTCCAACGCACACACACACACACACTCACACACACACACACACACACACACACTCACACACACACACATACGCTCATGCACTCGTGGGACAGCAAACTGCCCCCCTCCAGGTGATAAATGGAGATGCCCTGTGCTCTAACGCTGTCCAAAAGGTGAGGCTTGAATAAGAAGCTTGGCCAAGTCGGACCCCAAATATTAAACTTCCCGTTGGGGCCGTGATATGGGGCAAGTGATATAACTCATTGTTTGGGTTTCTGTCACATGTGGAACACTGGCACAATGACCCTGAAGTGAGGGCATTCTGTTTCTATGTATGCAACTGCTTTTCCCTTAAGACTCAACAAAATGAACCGTTCTGCTCAGTCCTGTAGACGCAAGGAGTGCCGCATTACTAAGAATATTCCTGCATGGAATTTCTCCTGACGTTTTGACTATAAAAGGACAGCAAAACGCTGACTGCAAGGAGAAAGCAATGTCAAGGAGAAAAGGGTATTGGTATTTCAGATCCTCTTGACTGAGAGAGTGAGACTGTGAGGGAGGAGGGAGCAGAAGGAGGGGCCCACAAGGTCTAAGGAGATGGACAGTGGTGACATATGCTGATGCAGATGGAGAGAAAGTGAAAGTGAATGTCAAAATGATCTTTTTGTACTTATTTAGACAATATATTATAATAACATCATCAATCTAAAAGACAGAGCAGTAAGTATGTATAAGTGCAGTATTGAGTATATTCACAAGTATTTGAATGCTTCTTCCAGTCTTTCTGAAATTGGCATCATGTCCCCACTATGTCCCGTATATTTGTGTTTCTTGTGTTTGAACTGTTTGATTCTCTGATCTGTGTTCGCAAATTCGACTGTTTTGTAAAGTCCTCCGAAAACAGGAGGTTTACATGTTCTTCCCGTGCCAGCGTAGGTTTCCTGCGGGTGCTCCGGTTTCCCCTACCACTAAAAACATGGACAATAGGTCTGGGATGTGCCTTGTGACTCTGGTCTGTGAAAGGCGCTATATAAATAAAGATTACTCACTTATTTACTTACTGTTGTGATTTAGGACTGTACACAAATAAATTGAATAGATAATTTCTTAATAACTTGAAATATTCATATAATCATATAATTTTTTTCTTCTTTTGCTTAAACGTATCAACAGTTGGACACAGTTATTTTCTCTTTTGTTTTGGAGTATGAGCGAGCGGTCTTAACTGTCCGCGACCCCTCCCTCATGCCGCCCCCTCCCCTCTCCTCTATCTCTCCCTCTCTCTCTGGGGTCAGCTGTCGGGCCTTTGTTCCAGGGGCATTGTGGGGGATTATCCGGTGTGGGCCACTCGTTCGCCCGGGCTGTTCGGTAAATGGGGCCAATCGTGTGCCTCACAATCCTTCATACATATTTCATAGGGCTTTTGAACAACTTCTCAGCAGAGCCCAAAATTAAAGGACAGATGTACGGAGCTGGGGAGGAAGGAGGTGGCAAATGGCTGAGCAAATATAGTGAGACGAAGGGATGGGGCTTGTAAGTATCACATGGGAAAATGTCATTTGTCTATTTATTATACAACATGATTTTAATTTAGCTGCGGCCGACAACAGGCTGCTATCTGTGGATAGAAAGCATAGATATTAAGGAACTCAAGTCAAACCAGAATCCTGATATGAAGATTGTGTTTATGTCAAGCAACACGGAAAGGCTGTCAACATGACTACAACTACATTAATGTGGAGAACAAGGCGTTTAGCATTTAAAAAAAAGTACTGTTACTATTCTTTTGAGCCATACACAAAGAAAACACAATGCTTCAAAAGGAGGAACATGCAAGTTGACTTGGAAGCGGCCGCTCTGAGGTTGTTAATCACTCCCAATGCATTTCTCTCCATCGCCCTCTCTTGTGACAGGTTGCTTTGAGACTGAAGGATAAGCTCTTTTTCAGAGAGAGGGAATCGGATTTCCTGCTTTTTTGATGAGATAATAAAATATGACAGAGGACAATAGAAGGCTGTGGACGGCTTGCTGGGAGCTATTCATTCTGGGCAACAACCCCCCTGTCTTAAGACTGCTTAGACAAATGTTTAAAAAGGTAGCCAAGAGGCCCCTCCACTGAAGGCTACTGTTACACACTTGCTCTCATCCGTATGTGTGTGTGTGTGTGTGTCTTTTCGTGTGTGTATCGCCAAAGCCTGAGAAATCTCTTGTCTCCCGGTGACTCAGGGTGAGCTGTTTGTTTGGCCAGCATGTGTTTTTGCCCCTTCGCTTTTGGGAACTGTCAGGAGATGTATTGCACCTTCTATTTGCATAGCGTTGGCCAAACAAGACGAGACCCTGGAAGATAAGGCTATACAAGCGTCATGTGTGCTGCTAGTGGCTCGCTGAAGCCTTGAAGGATGAAATGCAGGGACACAAGCTCCCACAGCCAACCGGGTTAATTCCTAACTTCCAATGAGCCTGGGAATGCCACGCTTCCCATGTGTTTTTACAAGCTAGGGCAATTGGCAGGTCAAGTTGATTACCTATTTAACCACCTATTTTATGTTTTTTTTTTTTTTTTTTCACATTATTTTACTTTCAAAGCATTTATTCTAATATAAAATGAACTGTTTTGATGTTATACCTGAGCTGGTTAACCAAATACTGCTTGGAGTATCATTACAGTTGTCTAATTGATTTTATTGTTGAAGTCCAGGCTGAAAACGGTCTTATTTAGCTATGCATATGACTAGTTCAAACTTTCATTTTTTTAACCAAATCTTTTATACAATATGTTTCTTATGTATTTGCCCTGTTATTTTATTGTCTCTTTTTACACTTTATAAACCACACTGTATGAATTGCGTTTCATAAATACAGTGGATTGATTGATTTATTGTTCAATAGTTTACTCTTAAATGTGTTTATGTATATGTCTCTACATTAGAGATAAACTAAACATTTGAGAATTTGAATCTACCCTAAGACACATTTGTGCCTTGGCTTTTAACACTAACTGAGTTTTACTGTTTTTTACATGTATTTGTGTGTATTTCAAGCTGTTTCTTTTGTTCCCGTGCAGCACTGTGAGCAGCTGGTGTTGTTTCAAATGTGCTATACCAATAAAGCTGACATTGACATTTATTGTTCATTTATCACCATACTTTCTCCTCAGACCTGACTTCACTGTAGCTACAACAACAAGACGTAGATCAAAAAGTTACTAAATAGTCATCAGACCATTTATAATGACCTCAACCTGTTTGATTGAGGGTTTAAAAACATATGGATCAAAAAGCCTGTATTGTTGCAGTGATGATAACTTTGCATTGTTTCTGCTACTACGCTTTTAATTATTTATTTTGAATTATTCTTTGGTTCGAATCCAAACCACTTTTTTACATAGCACTGAAATTTCCCTGCATGTGGGACGAATACAGGATCGCTCTCTCTCTTAATTTTCCAACACAAGTTTCCAAAGTGGGGGCGACAGTAGCTCAGTTGGTAGAGCATTGGCCTTAAGCCCAGAAGGTCGTGGGTTCAATTCCCACCTCTGCACCTTCTCCACCGACTCCCACTGATGACTGCTGTCGTTGTGTCCTTGGGCAAGACACTTAACCCCACTTTGCCCAAAGCCCCCACTGAAAGATCAAGGCTATGCTCACACTCAGAGAGCAGCTGTCCTCCTGTGGACTCACCACCTGCAGAGGGTCAGTGAGGGGCTGGTGCTATGAGACTTGGGTGGCATCTCTGATTGCCACCCCCCTGACCCAGAAATGGATTAAA